GTAGGAAGTTGGACTAGATGACACTTTGGGTCCCTTCCAACTGTACAATTTGATGGTTCTAGGTGGCAGAGAGGTCTTCCTGCCCTCCTACCTATTGCTCAGAACTGTTGAAGTGCCAGCCCATGAAGTCAAATGAGAGCTTCTGGCGAGATTATGTGGGAGAGGAAAGGAATAAATTTGTTGAAGGGAGAGATGAGGACTCATAAGGTTGCAGTTAACTGAATTTACAATGATTCTGAAATAACCCATTTCCTTGATTACTTTGGGCTTATGTAAGCTGAGGTAAGATTCCCCACCGGTTCTTACTTATAACCTTAACAGAAAGACAGACCTTTCTTCTATGATAGCTGATGCAATTCTATTGTTTCTGGACACACTCTGGTCATCTGCTTGACATTAGGAATAACCACTCAAATGGCCGAGAAAATGTTCAGATGCAGCTCTCCAGTGGTTATGCTAGAATATAGCTCATTTTGCCTTGACAGTTGGCTACACTTTGGTGTACGTTTAACTACCCTATAATTTCGAACACATCTTACTAATTTTGGTCTTTCGGTAATGGTTTGCACCTGTCTTGGGTTTCATTGCCTATTTAAAAATCAATGAACCACAAATACTTGAGGCCTGCTGAAACTAACCATATTTCCTGTGACTTTGAAAAACTATTGATCCAAATATGCTCCCCAGTAACTGCATGTCAAGTCTTTATAGCAAGGTTAATTCACTTTATAGCCTTCTTAACACAGGAGGGTTTATGCTTTATTACATATCCAGTACTCCAGATAGGATGCAATGAATTTTAAAGTAACCACAGTGCAAGGCAGATCCAGTGTGTTAACCAAGCTCAGCATTTCCCATCCAACCTTCTCAAAAAGATTTTTTTTTATTTATTTCAAATGGGAACACAAAAACAGAAGCTTGCACTTATTTTTGTTTGCATTTAAGAAGGGCAGAGAGTCACCAGAAAAGGTCAAATGCTATTTCTGGAGGTTTTTTTTGGTATTTTTGCAGGGTCCGTCTGACAAACATGGGACAGAAAAGCATTCATGAAGCAAAATGCCACTGCTTCCGTAAGCCTTGGTGTAAAAATAAAATTCTGAAGTTCTTAATATTAAAGAAAGAATAATGTTCCAAGTCTTACAACTTCTGAACTCCTAAAAGGCAGATTATTGTTATGCAAAGTAGTCTTCCCCCAAAACCTAAGTTTAAAAGTTCCATTGGATATGCTTCTGGTCCCATTGTCAATTTCCTCTAGGGTCTAATTCCTGGCAAAAGGCACATAGGAGTTAGTTAGTGAGCTACCCCTGGCTCACCTCATAGTTTCACCTTGTGAATTTTCTCAGAAGACTATCAGGAAAAAGTGAGGTCTTTCCAAGGATTCAACCAAGCTTCAGAAGGAAGCCCCTTCCATGCCAGATTTTCCCTTTCCCAAGCAAATTTACCTTAACAATAGTCGAGAGAGTGAGACAAGTGAGTAGGTATGAAACAGCTGGCATTGTATCGGCCTCTGGCTTCTGATCTCAGGGACATCCTTAGACACTTGTGTGCATGAAATCTACTTTAATTGACTTGGGATGCACTAGGTCCTAAAATCCCCTTCAACTGCAACCGTGCGCATGCTTGGAAGCATCAAAATCTTAACCAGGAGGCTTCTCAGGCTTCTAATGTCCCCTGTTATACCTGTAGATTTATACCTGTCCTTTTCAAGGATGGTTAGTTTGCTTGGGAAAGGAGGGGTCTGATGGGAAGGGCTGTCAAGGGGGGGGGCTAATATAACCTGGGTCTGATCTTGAGAAGGCACTGGAACTCGGGGGCTGTATCCAATGCTAATCCTACCCAGAGACATTGAAGTTAGTAGATATGACTGACTTAGGTTCATTAACCCTGCCCTGGGGTCCCTTTTTCTTAAAGCATTAGTAATTGCCGGAGGGGGCATTGGGGAGTGGGTGAGTTGCAGAGAAAGCCTTGCTCAATCATTTCCACATCTTTCATTTTTCTGCCCCAAATGAGCCCCACAAGCCTGGTGACACCTCACGGTATCCTGGGACGGTGTCAGGGCTCCAGCATCCTAGCAGGGTTCATGTCTGACATTTCTTGCGGGTTACCCTTTAAATCATGCATCACCTCCTGCCATTTCTTAGTACCGGGTGACTGAGCAAATGATATTTTTATTCAAACCGTTAATCTACTGCCTACATTGAAACAAAACTCTTAAGTGGTAATTTTGCCCAATACCCGTCATACAGCATCCCTCTGGGGCACTGAACTGCTCACCACAATCACAGCTTAATCCCACTGAAGAGCACTAGAATAGGAGGGCGCCCAGTGCTAAGGGCCCCTTTCAAGCCTGAAGTTGGTCCTCTGTTGACTCTGCTTGCTCCCTCATGGAGTTCTAAATTCATGTTTACAAAGGTGTTGAACATGTATCCATTGCACGCCTGCTCCAAATGATCCATCCCCATCCCAGAAAAAGCTGCCATTCTTTTCAAAAAGTTGCTGGAAGAATTATACATGATTACTTCTGTATACACTCTCTAGTGTGAACCTTTGCTACAAAAGGTAGATAAGAGAAAGATGGTGCTTTACTTGTACAGTGGTACCTTGGGTTAATAACTTAATTCATTCTGGAGGTCCATTCTTAACCTGAAACTGTTCTTAATCTGAGGTACCACTTTAACTAATGGGGTCTCCCGCTGTCGCCGCACGATTTCTGTTCTCATCCTGAAGCAAAGTTCTTAACCTGAGGTACTATTTCTGGGTTAGCAGAGTCTGTAACCTGAAGCGTCTGAAACCCGAGGTACCACTGTATTCAGTCAGCGGCTTCAAATATTGATAAGCCTATTATTTACACTGATCAGCCTACTGTTGATCAGAAATAGAATCATAGAATCATAGAATTGGAAGAGACCACAAGGGCCATCGAGTCCAACACCCTGCCAAGCAGGAAACACCATCAGAGCACTCCTGACATATGGTTGTCAAGCCTCTGCTTAAAGACCTCCAAAGAAGGAGACTCCACCACACTCCTTGGCAGCAAATTCCACTGTCGAACAGCTCTTACTGTCAGGAAGTTCTTCCTAATGTTTAGGTGGAATATCCTTTCTTGTAGTTTGGATCCATTGCTCCGTGTCCGCTTCTCTGGAGCAGCAGAAAACAACCTTTCTCCCTCCTCTATGTGACATCCTTTTATATATTTGAACATGGCTATCATATCACCCCTTAACCTCCTCTTCTCCAGGCTAAACATGCCCAGCTCCCTTAGCCATTCCTCATAAGGCATCGTTTCCAGATAACCAGTATATTGTATCTTAAAGACACATAATGTAGCAGTTGTCATGCTTTAGTCTGCTGAAGGATGAACCCCCAGCTTGATACAAAATGAGACCATCTCAAAAGAATTCAGAGTTAATACATACAATCTCGACTCTATTCTGAGTTCATCACCCCAGACACTTTCTCATACCTGGTGCAGGGAAAGTTTATGGATGGGCCTCCATCAGGATCGCATTAAGCCTAGACAAGGAACTATGGAAATTTAAGAAAGGAAGGAGCTAGGGAAAAGGAAGGAACAGTGATAATGGCAAGAGGAAGGGCTTACAGTCCTGATTTCTTAAAGAGTTTGGAGGATTTGAATTACAATGGGCTTGGGGATGAAGTGAGATTGTCATCAGAAGCTGCCGTCCAACAACAGGCATAATCATTAATTTCAGCGACACATTGCCATTACTGGAGAATCAAATGTTTAGATATGGCCCTAGAGAGGGGCAATCCTTTCAAAGTTGTTGCTTATTCTCAGGTGACAGCAAGTAAACAGAGAAGAAAAATAACTTCACATAGCAATATTTGAACGCCTCCCGCTTTTATGAAAAGAATTTGTTTTGTTGCTAAACACAAACTGGAGTTCCATGACCTGCTGACAACACACAGAGGGAAAAAGTCAAGTCCATGTAGAAATCACCTTGTATACATTAAAACAAAATGCATAAGCTACAATGGCAAATTCTTAGTCCTCTCAGCGCTAAAACAAACCAACTATGATCAAGATTACACACATCAACTCCCCATTGATATATAAAGGGGAATTACAAATGATTGCTGATAAACTGTTTCTTGTGGGCTGCAAGAAATATCATGCATAATCCTCCCACTAAGAATGAAACACCACAACAATGCAGCCATCAAAGCCATCACTAAAGCAATCTTCTTCTGACATCTGTTCCATAAATTACTATTAACAACCAATGGGAGGGAGGAACCCCTATATTCTTTCAACATTTTCATGAGCATCACTCCCACATCTCCACACTAGGCACAAGTAGATAGATATTTGCCTACTAGCAAACAAAACCCTATCACAGCACTGAAATCTAATGGAAATGAAAACGTGTTTTCACCTCTAATTCTTGAAGAATTATATCTAACAAGGTATGTTTTAAAAACAACAGCACAGATCATAGAATCACAGAGCTGGACGGCACCCCCTGCAACACTACACAGTCCCCCATCGGAATTGAAACCATACCGGACCCTGCTTAGCTTTTGCAAATGTGCTAGCAGTTTTATTACTCCATTTTGACAACACAAATGTAAGAGTAGAAGAAGTGTGGGGACCACATGTAGTTTGTGTAATAAATCCCTGCCCATAATTTCTTGCAGGAGAGGGTGCACCTTCCTTCATTCCTAGTTTCCTTTCCCTTGCACAATCACTTAACAGTGAGATGAGCTTGAGAGTGCTCACCTTCCACAGAATTATTACCCCCCTCAAAAAAAAACCCCCCACACAATTTCATTCATGCCTTGTGCCACTTTTGTCATCTGCTGCTTGGTAACAGAATGAAGAACATATGCATTAAACTTTGCCTGGGGAAGATCCAGCTGGTTCAAGGGGCAAAAAGGTCCTTTAGGCACCCGGCAAGATGAGAGGACCCTTTCTTGTCCTACGTTTGTTCTGCACATCCATATGCAGAGGATTCACTTTAGAAGTATAGATAGCAATAAAGTCACTTACGGAATGCAGTATACAGTTCTTGCAGAGTTAAGGAACCATCGTTGTTGTAATCATCAAATCGGAGAAGATCCTCTGGTGTACAATCTGAGAAAACCTCTTCCAGGTCGTCCCTTTTCATCAACTGTTGAGATCAGGAAAAGAGGTGGAATCATTAGAATTACTTAACCAAATTTAATTGAATATACTTTTTATTGCATGGGAAAACTGAACACTGGGATATTGTGGGGTGGGGAAATAGGCCATAAAAAGTACATAAGCTTGGTATGTTTAGACAAAAATCGCATTTTGTTAGGAATGTTGAGCTTTTCCTGATGTTTTCCATTATTGCTTGAAGGCTTCTACAGCTACCTTGTATGAGATCAAGTGGTTGGAAGGCAGGAGTCACCAATAAATCACCAGGAGTCATCAATCACCAATGTGATTGTTTTATGTTGCAAAATTTGTTGCAATATATCTGAAGGAGAGTCTCCACCCCCATTGTTATACCCGGACACTGAGGTCCAGCGCCAAGGGCCTTCTGGCGGTTCCCTCACTGCGAGAAGCCAAGTTACAGGGAACCAGGCAGAGGGCCTTCTCGGTAGTGGCGCCCTCCCTGTGGAACGCCCTCCCACCAGATGTCAAAGAGAACAACAACTACCAGACTTTTAGAAGACATCTGAAGGCAGCCCTGTTTAGGGAAGCTTTTAATGTTTGATGTATTACAGTATTTTAATATTTTTTTGGAAGCCGCCCAGAGTGGCTGGGGAAGCCCAGCCAGATGGGCGGGGTATAAATAATAAATTATTATTATTATTATTATTATTATTATTAGACATCAAAACTAAGCTATACATGGCCATACTACATGCATGTTGTAATAGAAAAGCCAAGTTAACCCTAGCAGCAGCAGCAACAACAACAACTTTCTATGAAGTAGGCAAAAATGTCTCAAAAGCCAATTGGGAATCATTCAGAAAGTTCCTATTTAACACCTAAACTGGCTAATCCCTACTTCCAAAAACTTCAGGAGGGCAGAATGCAGCATCAGCCTATATTCAGATCCAAATAAATGTGTGACAACGCAATACAAGGAAGTCTCATGATACCATTTCAAAGATGGCGTGGGGGCAAACATGAGAATGCAGAGGGCCAAGATTCAAGTCACCAAGGATATGGTCAACAAGTGCTTCATGTTCTTCATGATATCAGATGTGGCTCATTTCACTGATGACAATGTCAAGTAATAATGCTAAAAACATGACCCTTCATCCACCATGTAAAATAGTCAATAAAACTGAAATCAACCACAACTTCCAGGGTCTACCTTTTAAAGATAGAAATTTCCCTTTGTCTGCTTTTGTATTGAAAATTGATTAAGTTTTCACAATACTGACAAGCTCCTTTGATTTAATGCCAGGAAAGAAATCACTTTAGCAGTTATGAATTTAGCAGATTTATGAATCTGACCCTACAGACACAGCTTTAAATGAAAATAATATTTCAATTACCATAGCTGTTAATGGGCTTGTATACTCAGAAGTTTATCTGATATTTCACAAGAATAAGGCTGATGTGTGTGTGGTGGATTTCAATCAAATGTTTTTAGTGGCTAAGACTGAATTTGTACCATGAATTAAAAGAACAAAAAATGACCTTCTACTTATTTATTGCTAGGGGCGCTTTTCTCTCTGAAAAGAATTATTTGACATTAATTGAAGCAAATAAGTTGGCAATTCTCCAAAGGCTAAATTCCACTTTCCCTTAACTTTCCCTCTTTTTTTTAACCAGTTCAATACTGGGTAGAGAGAAAGATTTGGCAGATGTGTTGCAACAAAAGTATGGTCTACATTAAAAACAACAACAACCTATCCTTCCTTTCAAGCAAGTTAACTAAACTAACAGAAGCAATTATCATGTTCCTACATTAATTTTTGATCAATCATTTCCTATATAATTGTTATGGCTTCTCATTTTATATCATTGTCATAGCTTCTCATTTATTTATCAGTATACAATATACAAGAGCACTGACAGTGTATACTGACAGTGTATATGAAGTCTGCCCAGACTGTCATCTTATACAAAGCCCTGCTACATGCAACAGTTACATGCCGAATTTGACATACATAAGAGAGCCTAGGAAGTGATACATCATATATAACTTCATGCTATATGAGAATAACTATGATGTGGAAGTCAAGATGGGCTATGAAAACAAAGAAGTGGCCTCCTGCCAAATCCTCTGCAAACTTGTCTGCACACTTGGAACATAAGAATATAGGAATCTGTCTTGCGCTGAGTCAGACCATTGCTCCATCTAGCTTGGTATTGTCTACAGTGACTGGAAGCACCTCTCCAGGATTTCAGACAGGGACTTCTCCCAGTCCTACCTGGGGATGCCAGGGATGCCACAATGCAAGGCAGATGCTCTACCACTGAGCTATGCCCTTTCCCTAACTGGAAACAGCAGAAAGAAGGCTGCATTTGCTCCCTGATCCAAAGGTTGAGTAAACATGGGTAAACATCCCATGGGTAAATAGCCTATGAAGATAGTGTCCCTTCCATTTCTTTACTTTCTCTTCTGTGACTTACTGGCTGCCATTTGTCCTGTAAAATTTTGCACTCTGCAACATCACTTCAGTGTGTGGGGAAATGGCCAGCCATACCTTCCTCTGGCTTGTCTGGATTCCACTGCCAGGGAACTCATACAAGGGTGCAATGCTTCAGGGACTGAATATAATAGGTTCCTGAAACAAAGGATTCCTCCCTCCATTTCCCTTCGTAAAAACAATAGGTCTCTCTCTCTCTCTTCCTCCTTAAGCCAGATCGTGTTACACTTTAGAATGACCAAAGAGAGAGAGCCCTAGATTTACATAGTTGTGCAGATATGAGCATATTTTACTCTAAGTGAAAGGCACTGCAAGTATCACAGAACAGGTATGCCCCATGCCTCAAGGGTGCTCCGGAGTGAATGTCCTTATTTTCCTCCTTACAAACAAATGGTTTCTGTTTACCCCTAAGGGAGAGAAGTAAAGTGCTCACTACTCAGCCCAGCTGAAATTCAAGGCATATGAGAACACAGCTCATGTCTCTCTGCTCAGGAGCCTTGGCAATATGCAAGCCCTCCCTCCAAACAAATAAATCTGCTAAAATGATGGGAATTCTGCTCGTAAGATAATGAAAACCACTTCTTTCATTCCATTGTAACATGCATCATATATAGTAGCTACTCCCAATGCCTGATTACATTTGCATTTCGCTTTGTCAGTGCATCACACACGCACACACACAATGACATTTTGCAGTTTTTTCAAGCCTGAAAAATATCACATTTCTGTTCAACCAATTAGTGCTCATTCATGAATTTAGCAGACATTGGATGTTATATGGTCTTTCCTTCTTTGATCTATCATAACAACTCAGCCAAAGAGGTGATTTCTCAAAACTTCTCATTCAAAACATCTCAACATGCCATGTTATTGTGACAATTAAGTTCTGCAGCTATTTAATCCTTTCAAGGTGGGACTTACTAGGAGTACATTCCAGCAGATAAACAAACAAAACAGATGGAGAAAGAAATATTGTGTAAGGGCTAATCAACATTTCAGTTAGGATGCTTATTAGCCAAATCCATTATGTGGTTCCCACCCTCCCCTCTCCTTCCTTAGTTCAGGGAACTTAGGGATGGGGCAAAACTTGCCTTTTTCTGGTCTTTTGCAGAAGGTAAAGCAGCATCTTGCTGCCTCCTGAAAACTCTCAAAAAAATATAGCCCCTCATCAGTTGATGCCTCCTTGCCCTCAACTGTCAGTGGGAGAGATGGGAAGCAGACCTCATTCCACTGAAAATTCACTCCTGAAAATTCGCAGAGGAAAAGGAGAGAAACTACCCAGCAAATCTCCTAAGAACATTAGAAGAGCTTGTTGGATCAGGCCAATAGCTCATCTTGCCCAGCCAGATGCCTGTAGGAAACCAACAATCAGAACATGAGAACAAGAGCCTCTCCCCTCTTGTGGTTTTCAGCAACTCTGTCATCTTACAAGAACAAATGGAATCCTCCTTAATGAGGGTCCTGGTTGCGCACAGGCCCCTAAGGCACCTCCGCTAGGAGAGTTGTTGCTGGGCATGGCCCAAGCCTTAACTGTTGGGCCCCAGGATCGCGCCAGGCTGTTTGGGACAATTGGGGCAGTTGGCGCGATTCCTGGGCCCTACAAAAGTGGCAGTGTGCCGTAACTGGGGGCACTTGCTTCGCGCTGCCAAACACCCACCCTCCCTCCCTAATTTTAGGCGGTGCTGCTTTGGCCTTGCTTTGGATTGGGTCGCCTGCTTTGGAGCAGGGGCTGGGTAGGAATTATTTCCATTTGGCAGATTGGCTGTAGTCACTTGGTTTTTGCCTACCCCCTTAGCAATCGTCACAACTTAGTAAGGTTTGGCGGTTAGGCATTGGCTTATTGAAGTGTGTGGGAGGGGTGGGAGCTAAACAGTACAAACTGAAAGCATTTGCTGATGACTTAGTATTGACTTTACAGGAGCCAGAACCTAGTACTAAAAGGGTATTGGAACTGATTCAAGAATTCGGACAGGTAGCAGGTTTTAAGTTGAACAAGATGAAAACTAAGGTTTTAGAGAAAAACTTAACTGTGAATGAAAGAGAGAAGTTTCAGGAGGAGACAGGACTAACATTGGTTAAGAAAGTGAAATATTTCGGGGTTAACATGACTGCCAAAAATGTGAATTTATTTAAGGATAATTATGAAAAATGTTGGATTGAAGTGAAAAAGGATTTAGAAATATGGACAAACTTGAAGTTATCATTGTTAGGCCGAATTGCTGTGATAAAAACGAATGTGTTGCCAAGGACGTTGTTTTTGTTTCAAACATTGCAAATTTTGGATAAGATGGACTGTTTCAAGAAGTGGCAGAAATATATTTCCAGATTTGTTTGGCATGGCAAGAAGCCTCGAATAAAATTTAAGATATTAACTGATGCCAAAGAAAGAGGTGGATTTGCCCTGCCAGACCTTAAACTTTATTATGAACAGCTGCTTTTTGCTGGCTGAGAGAATGGCTGCTTCTTGAAAGCACTGACGTGTTGGATCTAGAAGTCTTCAATAATGCATTTGGCTGGCATGCATATTTGTGGTATGATAAGGTAAAAGCACATAAAGCGTTTAAAAATCATATTGTTAGAAAAGCATTGTTTAATGTTTGGATAAGATATAAGGATTTGTTAGAAAAGAAAACCCCAAGATGGTTGTCACCAATGGAAGCGAAGGCACAGAAAAAACTCAATATGGAGGCCAAATGGCCGAAATATTGGTAAATTCTGGAACAAGATGGAGACAGAATAAAATTGCAGAGCTTTGAAAAATTGAAAAACAAAGTGCGAGATTGGCTCCATTATTATCAAATAATGGAGGCATACAATCTGGACAAAAAAGTTGGTTTCCAGGTGGAAAAATCAAAATTGGAAACAGAATTGTTAGATCCAAAAATGAAGAATTTGTCAAGAATGTATAACTTGCTGTTGAAATGGAATATTCAGGATGAAATGGTGAAATCAGCTATGATTAAATGGGCACAAGATGTTGGACATAACATAATGATGGCTGACTGGGAACAGTTATGGACCACAGGTATGAAATTCACGGCATGTAATGCCCTAAGAGAAAATTTAATGAAAATGATTTATAGGTGGTACATGACACCAGTCAAGCTTGCAAAAATTTACCATTTGCCCGACAATAAATGTTGGAAATGTAATGAGACTGAGGGTACATTTTTTCACCTTTGGTGGCCATGCCCAAGGATTAAGACATTCTGGGAAATGATTTATAACGAATTGAAAAAGGTATTTAAATATACCTTCCTGAAGAAACCAGAGGCCTTTCTCCTGGGCATGGTTGGTGCCAAAGAAGGATAGAACTTTTTTTATGTATGCAACAACAGCAGCAAGAATACTCATCGCAAAGTATTGGAAGACACAAGATTTACCCACCCGGGAAGAATGGCAGATGAAGTTGATGGACTATATGGAATTGGCGGAAATGACTGGCAGAATCCGAGACCAGGGAGAAGAGTCGGTGGAAGAAGACTGGAAAAAGTTTAAAGACTATTTACAGAAATACTGTAAAATCAATTAATGTTAGAAAAATGTTGGAATGAAGTTATATGGCTTTAGTAGAAATGTTATAAGGATTAAGTAGAAATAGATTAATAGAGTATTAAAAGGAAAAATAAGGTTAGAATGTGTTAAGATAATTATAGGATAGAAAGCAGAGGAAGATGGAAAGGAATTGCTGAAACAATTAATAGAAGTGGAATACAAAAAGAGAGGTGTGAGGAGGTCATTGAAATAAGTGAATGAAAGATAAGATATTGAAATTGATGTGTTTTAAACTGTTTTTGTTTTGTTTTGTTAGTTTAATGTGTTAGTGTTATGTAGTGTTTTTGTATTGTATTGTACATTTTTTGTAGTGTTTAAATTGTTGGAAAAGTAATAAATATTATTTAAAAAAAAAGAAGAAGAAGTGTGTGGGAGGGGAGGTGCGGCCATCACTTGCCCCTCCATGAATGAGGGTATTCTGGTAAAGGAATCTGGGGGTCCTGGATCTCGTCAGAAGTCCGCTTGAGGGGCTAGGGCCATGCCAGGACCACAAGAACCCTGGGGTAAGCTTCGGTTGGTCTTCATTGATGTTGCTCCCTCATTTGTTGTTTACCCTTTCAGACTTCCAGCCAGAGAGGCAGGAGTCAGTTATAGTCTGTTGCCAATGCCTAAGCCAATACCACTCACTTTGCTGTAATCAATAAAGTTGTGGCCTAAATTTTGCGCAATGACTTAAACTAAAAATTAGGTGTCAGTGTGAAGTTATTTTCAGGGTAAGGGCTTGGGGGCCTCAAAGCACAAATGAACATGGTGGATCAGATCAAGGATCCATCCTTTTTCCTGGTTAGCTGGATCTTTCTCAAAAATGCATAATCAGGGCATGATGGGAATAACCTTCCACAACATGATGATAAAGACAATATCACTTTGTGTGTGTGTGTGTGTCTCACCACCATATATCTAAATTGATCAATTGTCAATCAACACTTCTGCAGCTACAAAATGATATTGTACATGTGGGACAGAAACTGTTGTTAATGAAATTTTTAGTATTAGAGCATCTCAGAGGAAGGAGGGAGAATCTATGCTGATTTTCATATTTAAATATTTTTCAATGCAAATAAAATCTGATATCTGTCAGCGAGCAGGGCATGTTTAAAAAAGATGATTGCAGACGCAAACCTATATTTGCCAGAGAGCTAAGGAGGAAAAAAAAAAGTGGCATAGAAAATTCTTATTTTGCAAAATATCCTTAACAATATAAAATAATGCCACCGCTTCCTGAGGCAGATGGGAGAAAAGTCAGCTACGGCAAGATATTTCATAGTCTAATTTTCAGCAGAGTTTTACAAACAGCTAGTCTCTTGAGGATTCCACTGTGGTTACACTCAATTTACACTTTGAATGGGAAATGCAGTCCACTTCATAATTTGATTTTCATTGAACAACAAACCCACCTGAGCCAATTCAGAGCTGCTGAGGTGCCCATCACCATTTATATCCAAGTGGTTAAACATATCTTCAACTAAGAAGCGCTTCTGGATTCTCTCATCTCCTGGGTGATTTTGCTGCCTCTGCCGGTGAGATTGAAGGTCTAGCAGGATACCCTTCAGTTGACGGTAGTCTGCCATTGTACACATGTCACCTGAAAGATAAAACATGATTACGTGACTGCGTGCCTCTCCCTGCTTGATCTGCTTAAAGACTGCACTTCTACGGAGCCAGAAAAGGTGCCGCCCAAAGGGAGATGCCCTGCACCTACTGAGGTTTTCAAAAGCAGTGCTTTAAGATGATCCTAATGAGATGCCCTTTCATAAAGACAAGGTTTTCCCCCACTCTAAATCCTACCTCCAAGGAACTTCATCAGTATCTCACTTTACAGATTATACGGCTTCACTCAGCAGACAACCGTGTAAAATCTAATATCTGCTGAATGCATTAAATGTCCTCTAGATGCTTTTTTAAAAGTATCCTTATTTGCCCCCACATAGTCGCAGTTTATGCACCGCTGCGTTTCCACAGTGCAGTCCGGTTTTTCTAATATATAAGGAGAAGATTAGAGTGGCTTTGAAGTGGTGATCATAACTAACTGAGTCTCAAGGCGTGAACTGCTGATTATCAGGCGGAAGTGCTGTGGTATCATTTGCACACTGTAAATATGCCATTTACAAGCTGAAACTCAAATTACCAAACTCGAATACCATTAGTTCTGCGGCTGTGTTATATTACAAAAGTTTCAAAAGGTTTTTTTTTAAAAAATAAACGAATAAATAAAAATAAAAATAAAAGAAACAATACTGCTTGAAAGGGGCTTGTGGTACCAGGACCCACATGACTTAACCCTCCCCTGTGCTGTTTTCAAGCTCTGACCCATTTGACACCACATCACATAACAGAATGCTCTGTGTACTCTTCTTCGACTGCATCTCCGGAGGATGTACTTGATAACATCTGCAAAAAGAACTCCCTACTGTAGAAGGGAGCACAACTGGCCTAATCAAAGACTTGAACTCAGCTGGCCAGGTACATAGCACTGTAAAGCAAAGAGGATGGAGGGCAGCTCCAAATCTTCCCAGACGTTTCCCTCGGATATAAGATATCCTGATTTCCATTGGACTGACTTCCTGATAATGAGATCAAGATTAGGATGATAGGATACGTAACCAAAATGGGGCTTCTGCTGGTTTGCTGCTGCTCTTTCCCCCTTTCTGTCAGTGGAGGTTGGGACAGGGACCATTGAAGTGTGTAGGGGACCACTAATGTTCAAAATAAAAAAGATCCCATAAGTAAGTCTGACTGGGGAAACAGTGGACAGAAATGGAGTAACATTGAAGCGAAGTATGTATTAGTGGAGGAGCCAACATTTTGTTACAACCAGAGGCGTAGGAAGGGGGGTGCGGGGAGTGCAGACCAGACCAGGTGTCATCGCTGGGGGGGGGGACACGACTCCCAAGCCTACCCCGAGCCATTGATGTGGGGCGTGACAAAAAAATTTCCACACTGGGTACCACCTGACCTTGCTATGCCTCTGGGTACAATTGTATCCTTTCAAGAATGACTATGTTCTAAAGAGTGTTTTTATGTGCATTTTGTTGAACACGTTTAGAAACCTCCCTGGTAAAACAGAGTTTCTGGTTGTGGGAAGGTTTCTAAGACTGTTAAACAGAACATGATCCCAAACTCTCTACACTTTTCATATGAAATGCATGAAGGTCCCAAAAAAGATTCTGCATGCCTGTGGGGACGCTGGGAGGCAGATCGTTTTAGCTCTTGTGTCTTTGGGTGAATCGTGCTTTAATGGAAACTCAAATCATGGGAGAAGAACACCAAGAGAACAGAAACTCTTCCTTTTAAAACCCCACTCCCACAATAAGTAGAGCTGCACACTGTAATTGGTATATTAATCAACTAAAGCTTTAGGCAATTAATCAAAGGATGCCACTTTTAATCAGTAAGTGCAGATTTTCATCAGTGGGGCTGTGAGTTAATAGCACAGTTGTTATGTAACCATTTTAGCTCTGGTTTATCTATTTGAGAGGAATGGGGGGGAATACTAAAAGTGGCCTTTCCCTTTGCCCATCAGCACTGGATTTTGTTTATGGGGTTGTAAATTATTATACACTTCCTTCACTGTCTCAGTATACATTGTGGTGATGGGCAATTCAGCAAATGTAATTTAATCAATGTAAATTTAATTGACTAATGAACACAGTAATTGGTGACATGCCATTTAATTAATCAAAAAAAACACTATTTAGGCTGCAGTCCGAAGCACCCTTACTAGGCAGCAAGGCCTACAAATTTTAAAGGATGACAATGTTTTGGTTTGTACAGGCAGTGCTTCCGATATGTATTCGTTTGAGCACATGCACATCTCACCAAACCTGGAAGTGACCTGAAAACATCACAAAAAAGGGGTGGAATGGGCCGGGGTGGGGCAGGGTGGGGGGTGGAATGGGGTGTTTGCAGGATTTTTTAATGGTGTTTCAAATATATATGATTTCACTTAAATGTGTGGTAGCGTGGAATGTAACCCCCACGTAAATTGGGAGTTGCCTGTATATTGTTTTGGGAAGTGTGAATAGCTTCACTTTTAACTGTGAACTGAACCAAATTCATCTCCCACCCCCAGTAGGCATAGCATGATCCCACCCAAGCATAGCATAAGACTTGTCTACCTTCTATCATATGAATCTGTCCAATAACGCCTCCAGAGAGAAGCTCATCTGGATCCATTTTCGATCTCTTCCCAGTGCAAAAGTGACTGGAAAATTTATTTGCCCAGTTTTTCCAGTATCTTGTATATCTGGTTTTAGCAGTTGTTTTATACATAGTCTGGCTTTCATTGATTTCCATGCTTTGTATTGTTTCTATTGCTGTATTTTCTTGTGCTGTTTTACTCTGTGTGTATTGTAGCTTGCACTGAAAGTTTACGCTGCAGCATAGCTGGCAATTCAGTCAGTACATAGTGTGGGATTCAACTAATTTGCTGCATGCATGGAACAAGGTCCATTTGCACAACATGACCATCTCCTTGCCCTATGCATCTCCGGTGTCCCTTAAATCTGCTTTGGGGAGTTGGAGGAACCCTCTGAACAAAATTAGGTGGTCACATAGAGAGGACCTCGTTCCCCATGTGCATACCACACTCAGCACTACATTGAATTTTACCCATGCGCTTGTATTCCACTGAGTCCTACTCAAGGTAAACCCACTAGAATTAAAGTACCTAAGTTAGTCATGTGCATTAATTTCAATGGGTCTATTCTATTCTTTCCGCAGGGCCTGTAAGACAGTTGTTCCGCCTGGCCTTTGGCTTGGAGCCAATTTGATTCCCTCCCTCCCTCTCTTTCTTTTTTCTTTTCCTTTCTCCTCCTGCGATGAGGCTACATTTTAATATTTTAATGTTTCAATATTTTAATGTTGTATTTTAATTTTGTTTTTAAGTTGTAATCATTCAACTTGTTTTTATTATTGCTTGTTAGCCGCCCTGAGCCCGGGCTTGGCTGGGGAGGGCGGGGTATAAATAAAAATTATTATTATTATTATTATTATTATTATTATGTATTCAGTGGCCAGGAGTGCCTTCCATCAGCTTCGGCTGCTGGCCCAGCTACACCCCCATCTGGACAGGGATTGCCTAGCTACTGTTGTCTATGCTCTGGTAACCTCAAGGTTAGATTACTGCAATGCATTATACGTAGGGCTACCAATTAGTTAGGGACACGGGTGGCGCTGAAGGTTAAACCACAGAGCCTAGGACTTGCCGATCAGAAGGTCGGCAGTTTGAATCCTCGCAACTGGGTGAGCTCCTGTTGCTCGGTCCCTGCTCCTGCCAACCTAGTAGTTCAAAAGCACTCAAAGTGCAAGTAGATAAATAGGTACCGCTCCGGCGGGATGGCAAACAGTGTTTCTGTGCACTGCTCTGGTTTGCCAGAAGCAGCTTAGTCATGCTGGCCACATGACCTGGAAGCTGTACGCCGGCTCCCTCAGCCAGTAAAGTGAGATGAGTGCCGCAACCCCAGAGTCGGTCATGACTGGACCTAATGGTCAGGGGTCCCTTTACCTTTACCAATTAGTTTCCGAGCCCAATTCAAAGTGCTGGTTTTGACCTATAAAGCATTAAACGGCTCAGGACCACAATACCTCAAGGACTGCCTCTTTCCATATGAACCTACCCGGACCCTGAGATTATCTTCTGAGGCCTTGCTTCGTGTGCCGCTTCCTCGAGAGGTCCGGAGGGTGGCAACACGAGAAGAGGCCTTCTCTGCAGTGGCTCCCCATCTGTGGAATGCTCTCCCTGGGGAATTTCACCTGGCATCTTCATTATACACCTTTAGGCAACATGCAAAAATGTACCTTTTTAACGAGGCCTTTGGTTGATCTGATTTACATCCTATGTCCTTTTAAAATGTGTTTTTTGTGGGGGAGGGGGGCTATTGGGTTGTTGTTTTTATTTTTATTATGTATTTTGTGGTTTTATATCTTGATTTTATTCTGTGAACTGCCCTGAGACCCCCAGGTATAGGGCCGTATGTAAATAATAATAATAATAAGAAGTAGGAATAATGTTGGCTATAACCCTTAATGTGCATATAAATATCTCAAACATAAGACGGTGGTGTCTTCCTCACCTAAAGAGAGTGAAGTCTCCATATTTAAAACGACATTGAAAAAGGATTCAAATGACCAGTTCAAGACAGAGCTAGCACTTGATAAGCTACTCATGTTTCAGTTTGTCTTTTATGAATAGGTGTCTCTTTTTATATGAATGGCTAATCACAGGGAGCATTTCTACTCAGCCAATTTATCCTTTAATATCATCCTGTGAGACGCATGGCTACCCCTCCGCCTGCATAGATAAAAATCACTGCTTGACACCTCTAGCACATCAGGGCATCACTTAAGTCCTATTCAAGCATTCCCCCCCCCCCATCCACGATTAAAAGCACATAAGGAAAGGGGAGGGGTTAGGCTGGCAATCTCTGCCCCTTCAGCGTTGAAGGGTAGCTTGACCTCAGGTTTTATAACTAAAACTTTAAATCTGACCCAGCCCCATATTGGCAGCCATTGCAACTCCTTTAATGGTGCTATAATGTGTACATACTGTAGCAAGATGTCCTACTCAGCA